ACATATAATTTGTAAAATAGGACTTTTATACATCCTGTTTTGTGAATATATTTCAGTAGTTAAAAAGGCTTCAATATGAATGTGAGTTTTAAGTTTTTTTTTTTAAATATAAATAGTCTTTTTGTTTGTAATAACAAATGTTGAAAATTTTGTATCTATTTATTTTATATAAATTTTATTAAATATTTTTCATTTTTAATTTGAATTAATAACAAAAAAAAATGCTTTCATTAATAAAAATAATAAATTTATATACATTTGAATAGAAGATTTAAATGAAAAAAAAAGAATGAAAAGAATTAATATAAATTGGAAATATGATATTAAAAATAAATACGCAAAAATTAATAATAAATGAAGGAAAGTAATTTTTTTCTTATATAATTTTACGTTAAATTATATTTATATTTCTTTAGTAAAAAAACAAAGTTAATTCATTATGCTAATAATGTAATAAATAAAAAAAGATTTTATTCACAGTAAAAACTTCAACCATAGAAAACAATAATTATCAATAAGAAATTATAAATTGACTTGTTTGTTGATGAAATAAATTATTTCTAAGCATTTTGGAAACAAAAAGAGTAACAATTTGCTTATACATTAAGTATAATCCAACTTTAACTCAACAAGTAAATTGTTATTCTATTGTAATGGTTGTAATGAATGCGGTATTTCCATTTCGTAATTAAACTTAACGACTCGTTATATATGAAAGGAATTAATGATGGATTAGACATTGATGATTCTATGATGACACCACTTTAGTGAAAATATATTTTTTATTTTAATCTATTCATGCTCCGCAAATATGTCCATGTAATAATAGTAATTATTGGATTTAAGTGACTTAAAACGTAATTAATAGCGCAATCATATTTAACAAACGGCGTGCAGATGGCGTCTGGAATGCTGCATTTGAAACTGCTTGTTTCACTTTTAATTGAACCCCGAGACGTCGTTGCTCTCTGCGCTCGTTTTTCCGTTTTCGTCGGTCGTTTGTTTTCCCTTCCCGTGCATCGCATTAAATTCAATATTATATAATGCGGCTCATTAATGCCGCACATCGCAACGATTATTTCCTATATAAATTATACGAGAAAACGGCCGTTTTCGCAGCGTTTTTTAACGTTGCTTCTTTTTTTTTTATTAAGTGCCACATAAATTGCGCCGAGTTTGTATTAATTTGTTTGCGTATCTGTATCTATATAGATACGTATTTTATAGATCCCAGCAAGATTATATGCTAAAGTGTGCGGATGCATGAATATGTTTATATTTCGATAGATTATTATAATGATCGTTATTATTATTATGATGATGATGTTTGACGTGAGGCTCGATTATTATGCAAAGGAGAAAACTTGGAATACTAATCATGATGACGATGATAATACATTGTAAGGATAGTCAAATAAATAAAATAACTCTAGACCCATAACCGTATTCAATTATGGGGGTCTGCATGTAACGCTACTATCAATGTGATCCAGAGGTTTCAATCTAAAACGCTGAGAATGGTAACCGGGCTCCCGTGGTATATCACAAACGACGATATCCATTCCTTCACCGACACCAAACTAGTGAAGGAAGAGATAAGCAAACTCAGCGTTATTTATCAATACCTGCTGTGGAGCTGACTAACACAGAGAACCATCGCCGAAGATTGAAGCGTTTCAAGCCCCAAGACCTACCAAATCGTTTTTAGAATGTGCGTCTTGATTGTGCGTGTGCTTTTAAAGTGATTATGTTAAGGTTGGTTACTGGACCAATCCCAATTCCTCTTTCCTATACAATTCCCACCGCCGCACAAAGAGTTAAAGTAATTTTCAGTTCGGGAGTTTACAAAAAAACGATAGATGGCGTGGCAAAACTGTTACGTTGACGTTTCTTAATGGATCTTGAGATCATGCACATAATATTAATCCAATTAAACCAATAATTCACGGGAAGTCCGCTACTACCTAGGAAAAAACATGTGAAGATAAACAAACAAACCAATAATTAAACAATATCTGGTGTTTTGAAAAAAAAATATTACGTAATTATTTCACATTATTTCAACACTAAAATAATATACTTTTCAAAATTTATGGAATTATTTACACTTTAGCATTGAATTTATACTGGATTTTAGAGAGTTTACTGTTACTTTTTACTGTTTTCATTAATTACTTATTACTTTAAGTATATTCATTTCAATGAATTAAATAATTGTATGATAATTAGAAATAAAAAATATTATTGATTAAAAATTATTATTATCTAATTATACATAAAACTTTTCAATCTTTGTGTATATTGAATTCAATTTTAATTTTTGGAAATTTTCATTAAACTAATTTATTTGTTAAAAAAATACTTCAAAACTTTCTTGCTGAAATAAATAATTTCTTTCATTGAATGTAAAAAATAGCATGATTTTAAAAGAAACAAAAGAAAAATAAACAAGTTTTAAAGTTCAAGAATGAGTTTCATTACCTTTGACATCTATAGTTTATTAGTAGATATTAATTTAAATCTAAAGAATTATGATGCCATAGCCTTAACAAGATTTTGAAATACATGGCAATATGAAATTTTTCATAAGTCTTTCGATATTCCCATTTGTGAGGATTAACACTAATCTTTTCGTGCAATTTATAATTGGAAAAATATTGTAAATATGATTTTTGTTAGAATATAAAAGTAGTATTTTGATAGATATAAGCTTCAAAATATTTTTTAAGAAATTTATTAAAATATTGTTAGAAAAAAAAAGAAAATATAATGTGTCTCTTTAGTCTGTGGGGTCTGCTGTTGTCTTGCAGGGATAACGCGAAACTGTTGGGATGGTTTTCCATTCTATTCTAATAACGGGCACTAAATTTTGGGATTTCACTCTTAACAGTGTTCATGTGGAGGTCTTTGTGTATCATGTCGTTCGGCACATACCAGGGGACTTTCACCAGGGTGCGCAGGCATTTGGCCTGGAAGTATTGTAGGATTTCGGTGTTGGAATTGCTGGCTGTCCCCAAAGCTGGATACCGTATGTCTACACGGGCTTCAGCAATGTCTTGTATATTACAATGCTTCTTCCACGTGATGCGGCGATCCAAGAACATACCCAAGGTAATGTAATCCCTTTTTAAGGGAAATGGCTGGATTTGGTTTCGTTGACTCTGATGCGCCACTTTCTGAGCCACTTCTGGTAATACACGTAATGATATTAATTGAAGACATAAATTGGACATTTTTCCATTACATTTTACGCATAGACAATTCCTTAATTTCAATGTTGTACTTTCATAGGTTTAATTCTAAATGATATAGTGTTGTACAAACTTTTAACTTGTGTCATATTGGAAGAAGTATAATTGTTTTAAGTTACACGTAAAATACGTCAATACTCACGATAATCTAAGTATAAAAATATTATTTTTAGTAGCAAAGGATGTAAGTTTAATATTTCTTTTGGACGTATCTATAAAAGTCATGATACGGTCCGCGGGCCTTGTGTTTGACAAGCCCTTGGATACTATATAATAATTCTATAAGAAAAAAATATTAATTATCTCACCTATGTATAAGGTAAAAATTGAAATATATTTAGCTAAACCTAACTTAACAAAGATAACATTATTTATGTAAGATACCACCAACCTAGGTTTATATATTAAGTTAATCTAAGTTAATATAATAAGTTAGTTAGGACAAGATTATATCTAATTTAGAATATTGTATTGATTAGAAATAATTAATTAATTTTAATTCAAAATTTAATTTAAGTTTATAGAAAGTAAATTAATAGTGAAATTGAATAGCTCAGATCTATGTAATAAAATTATAATATTTAGATAATGATATGAAGCTGTTCAAAATAGTCTCTTAAAATATGCGAGCATGCGTTGATATTCGGTCGACGTTTTACCATGATCGTAACTACGATGATGATAATAACGGCGCCTATGATTATTATGTAAAAGAGCGAACGAGGAATGATGATGATGATGATGAAAATAATAATAATGATGATAATATTAACAAACTGCGAGTGAGAATAAAAGAAGCGGAGGGACGAATGTTGGACGAGAGGGCTGATAAATAAGTAAATAACGAAAAACGAAAACAAATGTGGCCTATTTTATGATTGCGTTCCGTGAATAATGGGGCGGCTTATATAAGTGGAACCCCGTCGCGCTCTCTGACAGGTTTATAGAGATGCCACGAGTTGCATTAATAAGTTCGGGTGGTCAACCTACCTCTCTTCCTCTCAATCCGAAATGCCGAATACAAGGAGTATTCATTCGAAAACTTATTTTTTTTTTAAATATATTTACCGAATCAGTTATTTTCCATTACAAAAATATAAACATTTTGCAAGTACGAATTATTTCAAAACTAATCCTAAAAATAATATTTCTATGTCTTTGTCGTTTTAGTTAATAAATGAATTTCAATCTAATATCTTGAGAATCGGTTCGGATCCAAACCCCGACAATCATAATCCGGACAGTGTTAAAATCCCGATACTAAAAATCCCGAAAGTATTTTTTCTTATTTAAATGAATTGAAAAAAGTGAGCTTTGCTATTTACTACGTGAATATAAAAAAAAGAATATCGATATTCTATTGTTAACCCTAAGATTCATCAAGATTTGCAAAAATTAATGTTCTCAAATAATTTCGTCACATAAAATGAAATGTTCGAGATTTTGATACTGTCTGGACTTTGATACTATTGGAATTTTGATACTGTCGGGATTTTGATGATGTCTAGATTTTGATACTGTCGGGATTTCAGTGTTTTAGAGATTTCGATATAGAGAATAGCAACGTTTCTTAAATTAATTGCAGCATCCATTATTTTTACAAATAAAAAAATAACTTTTAATTTCACAAGATTTTATCAGTAATTAAAAAAATATATAAAATTTATAACTGCTTTATTAGTACATTTATTTATAGAACATTAATTGATTGTATTAGTATATGAAAATATACTTTTTTTTTGACATTTAACAACCATACCTTATATTCCCAATTTATAAATATTTATAGTTAGTAATTTAAAAATCAAGGCATAGCTGTTGTTGTTGTAGTTGGTTGTGGTGCATCAGGGACATTTGCAGTGGTTATTAGAGGTGGCTTTGTGGTTTCAGAGGGTGGCGCGACTGTAGTACTAGTAGTAACGGTAACAGGAGGTTTGGTCGTTGTCTCATCATCGTCTTCGCAGAACAAATCGCAGAAGAAGTCAAGTAAAATTTCATCATTGTCATCCGAACAATCTTCGCAGCAATAGAACTAGTAATAAATAATAACATATTAGTATGTATAATATAAAGTATAAAAATGTTTTAATTTATTAAACTATTATTACACCATCTCTTGTTTTTTTTTTCTGAAAACTCTTTGATTTATAATTAATTAATTAATTAATTTTGTGGAAGAATTAAGCAATGAATGGGACAGTATTTGGATGTAGTACTTTTACAAATAATTCTATAAAAACTATTTAAAATCAATTTTGAGGAATCAATACAGATTTTAGTTTAAATTTTGGTAAAAAAAACTTACTGCTTCGCTTTTAGAAATGCCAAGCACCAAAAGCAAGATGCCAAACGTAACTGATTTCATGCCGAACATTCTAACGTTTTCTGTCTGCAAATGCATCGAAAACACCTTTTATAATACGAAAACAGGATAATCATCGTAACAAACCCTTTTGTTTCGTGCACGAATTCAAAACGTCCTTCGGGTTTTTTTTTATTTTCTTTAAACAACATCCGAAAGTAAACGGAAAAACTATGTCACCCCGATAATCTGCAATTGGCCGACCGATAATCAAGATTAGTTGCGCTCATTTCTATCGCTTTATTAGCGGAACAAAGATTTGTTCTACTTTGGTCATAAAAAATATGAATTTTATTGTTGTTTACAAATATTTTGCAATGTCAAGTGTAAATTATTTTTGTTGTAAACAGAGTTGTTTAAACGCTTGAACTAATACGTTTTTTTTGTATTATTTCCAAGATGATTAAATAATCAATAAATTAGTATTAGGATAGATTAATGCGAAGTGATTGTGAAGTAATTTTTGATAAATGTAACAGTTCTCTCGTGCGTGGAGTATTGGATTAAGCATATATATTAATGTTGAGCAATACTTTTAAACTTCTGCTAAATTGCTTAGTATTGCAGAACGCTAGATGGAATGAATATATTCAGCATGTATATAAGAAAATAGTTTCTCATTTCGATCATTATTTTTATGGAAACGAATTTAGTTATGATTTCACCAAACTTGGGTAGGCTTCAAAACAGTGTGAGTCGAGGGCCACTAAACAGTATTAATCAAGGCCCCTAAACAATGTTTATCGTAGGCCCTCAAAACGTATAAAACTGATTTTACGGAATTATGATATAAATATTTTGTGTATAAAATTATAAATCTTGTATACTTTTTATATTTACGTTTTTATTTCTATTTTATAATTTACAAACTTAATATTATCATGAAATTAGAATAATAGACGGAAAAACTGTGATTGTTAGCCGTAATAATGTTTAATATTATATAAATACATAAGGATAATTATTCATAATTATTATAAAGTAAAATATTTTTTCTTAAAATTTTCATTGAAAACTTCAAGCATATTTTATTATAATTTATACATGGGAGGATTTAGGCATTATCTACTCAAACTTGTGTTGGTCGAAAAACAGTGACACTTTTGTATATACATTTTTGTGTCTATTTTATAACTAATATACTTAAAATTATCATGAAATTATAATAATAGACGGAAAAACTGATTATAAAGTACACTTTTTGAAATATGAAATTATAAATAAACCAAATAAAAGTAAATCTTCTTGAAATGAAACAAATAATATATTCTGAAGCATCATTCGACTGAAGAATGATAAAATTCGTCCGGACACGGTCTATCCACCCTCCCCTGATTCACATCCATAGAAGAGTCCCGCACCCGGTCACCGACATCGAACATTAGAACATAAACATGATTTCCAGAAAAGCGAACGTGTGTTTCAACATTAAAGTTCTCTATAAATCGTCTTCTCAAACGCTTCAGCAACCCTGTGCGATTTTCTGCATTCTTTGGCGAGTTTAATTTGTTAATATAGGTTGTAACTATGTGTGTGTTGTTATTGGCCTGTGAATTTTGTTGTACTGAAGGTATTTAGGTAGATCACTCGTCTTTTTATTAAGTGGCCTTACTTTGATGTTAGGTATACCCGGTATGTGTTTTGTTGGCTTCTTCGGACATTTGGAAGAGCATGCAACATGGTCATCCGAGTTACATGCCAAACACTTGGGGGGATGTGGCAAAGTGCATCGGTTTGTCAGATGTTGGCCCTGGCATTTGGAGCACTCGGTCTTGTTGGTACATGCGTTCATTGCGTGAGTAAATTGTTGACACCTAGCGCAAGGTTCAGGTATAGGAGGCGGTCAAATGCTCTGTACTACCGGGAAGTGCTTGTTTATATAGAACAAGCCCTCATGTAGGAGTCTCTGAAAGGACGACGCGAACCCGGTAATGATGCGCATCTTGTAGGTTGGTTGTCCCGTCGCCCTGAATACGATCCTCTTGCAGTACCTGTGTTCCACCCCAGACGACTTGAGATGATCGCTGATTTCCGCGTCTGTAATGTCCAGGTACATCCTTGTGAGGACAGCGACGCGTTGTGGCCGTGTTTTTTGGCTCCTTCGGAGGAACGAAGTATATCGGTCAGATACGCAGCCTTAGGGTTGTCTGACTTCAAAATGAAGACTGTCTTTATTTGCAGAATAACATTTTTTCTGTTGCCGGCTCCCCTCGACCACAATTTTGATAGTTGCGATCTCGATATCGCCTCGCGAACGTTATCTTGAAAGTGTTCAAATATTTGTTGCTTGCGGATCCTTTCTTCGGTTTTCCGAGCTTCCACTTTCCCTACTCCCATCCGGAACCCATGGCCTCCGAAGGGCAAGATGATGAATCGGTGCCCTCTGAGGCTTCATGGTCACCAGTATGAACTGCGATCACACAGCACACACCTAATCCGAAGCCAAAAAACAGAAATATATCTTTTCACAAGCTGCTATCAAACACGTCTGCAAAACAATCATCAGAATTACAAAAGACAATTAACTAATATATATTTATTTAAATAAAATTCATATAACAATACCTCGCATAGTGCGGATAATCAGTTTTGATTTGCCAATATATCGGACTGTTTGAAACAATAAAAACATATTTATGCAATTTTTAGAATTTATTTTTATTTTTGTCAATTAAAATTTAGTTTGTTTTTGTGAATACTTACCGCACTGTGCGAGGTAATACATATATACATTTTTAAGACTGTTATAAATATGCTAATTTTATATTATTTTAGAATTATGATATAAATATTTTGAGTTATAAAAATTTAACAATCCGTTTCCTTTACTTTAAAATAGAAACAGTAAACTATGTAATTTTTGGCACACATTAATATTTCGGTTTTGTTGAAAAATATAGATTTTATGCAGTTGTAAATTGTGTCGTAATAATACTAGGAAATTTATCGTTCGACAATTTTGAAATAATACAGCCAGTGCAACTAATCTAAAAATAAATGGATATTTAGACTTTATTGCAATCCTATTAACAGACATATTTATAATCTTTCTTGTAATTACAAAATATCAAATGTTACAAACTTCACAAGTTCTAAATTTAGAAATCAAATGTTTAAGTATTTATAGATGTTTTTTTTTCAATTATTTAAAATGGTATCAAAAATTTGAAACATAATAATTACAATCAATTATTAGTAAAGAACAATTAGTTCAATGTTATAACAATATTTCAAAATAAAATTTAAAAAATCATAAAAGACAATTGATTTTTTGAAAGAAATTTATTTTAATTATAGAATTACAAAATACGTTCAAAATACAAATGCCCATACACAAAATGAACTTATTATTTTGTGAATGAAATAAATAAATATTGAAAGTCGTATAAATAAGTTTGAAAATATTTTAGTTTTTATTATTTGATTAGTAAGAGTATTAAATTTATTGACGTCATTAGAAATCTATCTTTTTAGTTAATAATCATCAAAACAAATGTAATAAGAACAAATAAAGTAATTTAAAAATAAAATAAATTTTCTATTGCTTTTTATTCAGGAAATTAGCAATTTCTAAATAATATTACTTAAGTTAAATAATTACAAATGTAAATTGTAAAAAGTATGAGTAAATTATATTTAAATTAAGTAATTTTAATATAATGATATTTATACTAAAAAATATTATTAAATATAATAGAAATTGGATATAAATGATTATTACAAATCGTGTTATTCGATAATCCATATCCATCAGAATTCCGACAACTTTAATCGCTGCAGTATCTTTTATTATTTGCTATAGATTTATTCACAATAAACTATAATAATAAGAAATAATCTAAAATACAATTGGTTAAAGTTTATTATGAATAAATCTATATCAAATGATAAAAGATACTGCCAAGATTTTGATACTGTCAGGATTTTGATTCCGTTGCGATTTTGTATGTCGGGAATTTAATTGTCGGTATTTTAATATACACACAAATTAACATATAAGAACCGTGTTATTTGAGTAATCGTAATTATAATAGTAATACATTTATTTCAAGAATTAAAGACAAAAAAGTATAAAAATGTATATTGCACATAAATTCTTGTAAATATTATTGATATACTTTAATACATTTTTAAGAAATTGTAATTGAATTAATAAGATATATAAATACAAAATATATGAAATAAAAGATGTGATAAAATATTTATGTTTTTAATGATTGAGTGAAGAAAAAATGTGCGTAAATCCAATAAGGATGTAAAGATATAAAATTTAAAAAAAAAAATGATAACCTCAATTGATTGTGTTAATTTATGGTTAAAATGCATCTCGTTCTTCCAGATAAATATTGGACAGATAAAAAGCAAATCGAATGGTGAAAAGTTCAAAAGCGATTTTTCAACAATCAGAAGGAGTTAAAAATAGCGTCCGAAAATCTTAATTATTCCGCGAATCTTAATTGTGCGCGCGGATCTTGCGACACTTTGGTCAATTCGACGAAACGCTCAGATAATTTTAATTGCTTTAGTCCACAATCGAACAAAAAAAAATAAAGTAAGAAAGAAATAAAGAAAAGTAAAAAAGAAAAAGAGAATTCTCTTAATTAAATTATTTCTCTTGCGAGCACTGTGGTCCTCCAAAGCGAAGTGAATTGTACGACCGCAAAAGGTTACACAAAGAATTATCATTACACTCTTAACAGCAGCGCTGATTAAGAAGTCACGGAATGCCAGGCTGTTATAAACTCGTTATATAAGTAAGTCGGAGTGCGAAAAGCGTTTGTCCGTTGCACGTCAATTTGTGACACCGTTTCCAGAAAACTAATCCTCCGTGTAGGCAGGTGAAGAGAAAAACATAACAAACAAACAAAAATAAATAAAGAGAAACGTAAAGAAAAAAATGGAAGAGACGCAAGGCCAAGGATATGCCGCGTTCGTTTATTTACTTATTTGTTTATTTATCGTTACGTCGGCAATAAAACTGGACGAGGTGCGGACGACGAAAGCAAAATCTTAATTAATAGGACTTATCTAATTGGTATGAAAGTTTACGATCGTAATTACGTGTTTTATGTGCAAATTCTGATATCGAGCTGGAGGGTAGCAATTAAAGTAAGTACATTTTTGAAAATATGTAAAGTAAACAAAACCGATGATTAAAATTCATTAATGTAAAAAACAACCAGTATTCTCGTATTGAAAAACAATGCGAATACAGCAATTGATAATTAAATTATATTTGAGCTAAATATAAAGTCCTCGATTAGTCCGGTTTCAAAAGTCTGTGCCGACACTATGCGAGTTATTACTGTACTGTTGTGAAAAATTTTGGTTAAGCGTTGGTGTGTACGATCCTTTATATAAAATAAATTCTGTTTGTTTTGGTTTAATTGGTTTTCGTAATTAGAGAAGACGGTTAATCATATCTTCAGTGTTTGCATGTGGGTATTTCAGTATGTTTATGAGAGCACACTTTGAGTGTTTGGGGGAAGTGGTGGAAGAGGAGGAGGAAGAGGTGGAGGATGATGAAGGTGTTTTGGGTTTTAATTTAAGTCCATCTTGTTATTTCGCTTCGGTTCGTTTCCTTTTTATTTTTAAATAATTATTATTTTTACGTTGTTGTTACTCTTTTTTTTCTTCATCATCATCTTTTTTGTTTCTTCTTGTTGTGTTTATGTTTTTGGGTGGTGGCCGAATCACATTTTCCCGTTAATATAGGTGAGGAAAGTAGGTAAGTACCACAGGGGCCACAGGGATACGAGATCTAACTAGTTAGTCAGAGTATGGCAGTAGTCACAGCCGGCAGCAGCAGCAGCTGGCAGTATGGTCTGGTCGTCGTCGGTGGTGCAGCATACAAGTGTCCTCCTCCTTCTGCTGGTGGCGGCTCAACTGGCCACTACTGTGTTAAGTGGCCGGCATCGACCCAAGACCAAAGAGTATGAGCACTATGATGTCCTCATTGTGGCTACCTGCGAGGCCAAATGCTGGGATAACTCCCATAGGAACGTCGTAAGTCATCCAATTTCAACATCTTCAAAATTTTATCTTAGATCAAACACATTATACATACGAAATATAAAATTTTCAATTAATTTATTGTTTTAATAATGGTAAAATTATTAATTATTTAAAATTGATTTATTTATAATTTCATTAATTACATAAAAGTCTTCAGATCAATCAATTATTTTAATTTACAATTTTATATTATTTTTATTAAAAATTTATAATAAGTTAATTTAATTAAATTATTTAAAATTTTCATATAGAATTCAGTTTTAAGTACTCTTATTTTTAATCAAATAAATATATTTTCTCTTAAATATTGAATGTAATTTACTTAGTGTTGCTTTATTAAAAATGTAGTAGAAAAATCAAGAATCTATTTACGTAATATCAATTTTCATTTATTAATTTTCATACAATAAAATATTTCATAATTTAGTCGAAATATCTCACAATTAATATTGCATTATCACCATAAATCTTACAATATTTGTATCAATAAATCATTGTGGTAATTACTTAAGAAATGATTTAACTTTGAATCACTTTTATTTAATTTTTGTTTTTATAGTTTAGGCAAATATTTCCAGTAAAAAACCTCCAATCAATTCTTTTCTTTTTAATAGAATTACTTATTTTATTTACTTAAAATATCTTCTAAACATTTTATCAAAAATATATAAAGTTTATGTATAAATAATTGTAATTATTTCTCGTAAATTGAAACTCATTTATTAATATAAACTTTTAAAATCGATATTCGAAATTTCCATTAAAGTTAAATTTGAGATCATAATTTAAAAAATATTAATACAGTAAGTAATAATTTTAATATTTTTATCATCTTATATATTTTTCTTGTAATATAAGTAATTTACGTATTTGCTGATACTGATTTCAATATAATTACATAACTGCATAAATATAAATATTCGTTTCGTGTTTTGTTTTTGCAAAAAAACTGTTAATTATAAAAGTTAAAAGAGAAAGCATTGTTTTCGAATGGTTAACACTTATTAATAATAATTATATTTGTTCAGTAAACATAAATAAAGAGATAGTATAAAATGAAACACTTAAGGACTTCCAAGAAACGATACTGTTATAAATCACTGTAATTAATTTCTATTAAAAATTTTGCTAATTAAGAAAATTGATAAATTGTTTAAATTAATTAAAATGATTAAATTTATTGTCAAAAATTTATATTATTATTAATTTCTATAAAATTGTTTTAGATTTCCAAATTATAATAAGGAAATAGTTTTACTATATCTTTTTATTAAATATATTAAACCAGGGGGTCGGCAACTTGTGGCTCCGGAGCCGCATTTGTCTCTTTTGATGATAAATTGTGATTATCTTGGAAAAATCATTTCACAAATAAAAAATAGTGAATGTAATGCGGCTCACTGGTCTATTTCATAACAGTCAATATCTAAAAAAAATGGCTCTTCCGACTTTGCCGGCTCTTGGTTTAAACCTATTAATAAGAATGTTGTATACATTTTCTCATAAATGTAAAACAATGTATTAAAAACATTAAATTTACAATAATAACGTGAATTTATGATTTTGTTCTCAATTAAACTGAGTTTCCTTTCATTTGCTGTTATTTTAACATATGTAAATATTCCTAAAAATAAATAAATAATTTCCTTATTAAATATTTTATGCAAATTCAATATTTTGTATTTATGTTTACGTAATGTAAATAACAATTGCGACTAAAGTCAAAGTGACCTACCCACGCAATAAACTGTATTTCATAATTACATGTGTCCCAATTATTTGTATTTCTTGAACATTATCTTACCAACGTCAGTTGTAACAAACCTAACAAAACAAGAATAATAAGAAAAAAAAATTCATATTGAAACGTCTGACTAATATTGTAGTTACGCAAATAGAAATTCTAATTGTTTAGATAATAAAACGTTTCGCGTTTAAGTTTTGCTCGAAATAAATGGAATTGAATGGTTATTATATGGAAAGCCGTTTTATTTCAAGATTATATTCCGAGTCGAAGGCGCTTTGCGGCGATGGAACGTCGGGAATGCGAATGCAGCTTCTTTCCACAGGTATTCCGAACATTTTGATGTAACTCGTCTTAACATATGTAATACCGAAAGGCAACAAGGAAAAAGCGAACGTAATATGTTTAATGTAACGTAATGCAACTTAATGTTGATTTATAGAGTATGAAAATTAGATATTCCATATTTGGGATTAGTGACTTTATTCGTAGCCGTCGCGATTTGCTAGATGGAAAATGCTGTTCGAAGACAATTTATAATTTACGCAAAATAAAGTAGTTGAAGCGAATTGAGATTCTTTAGTTTCAATTAGTTGTGGTATCTGCATTTTATATCTTAATAGTTTCTGAACCTTGCGTTCATCTGAGTACAATCTGATACACACGTTGTTTAACTTTAAAAGGCTGTAAGACGCAACACTTGTCAATTTAACTTGTACTTGAATAGTTGTAGAAGTTCATGATCCGGACAATATCTACAAATAGCGTATACGTACGTTGCTTAACATTAAAACGATACTGATTACGTAATACTTACTATATTAACATGTACTTGAATACTTGTAGAGGTACATTACATACTAAACGTTACTCAAGGATTACTTATTACAAGATTTTAGTTATCGTCTTGTTTCAACTTATACTTAGATACTTGTTATAACACATTTTTAGATTTACGTTACTTGTTAATTTACTTATACAATGATACATGTAGAAGTACATGTTTCGTACAATATGTGCATGCAACATATAAAAATTACTTGTCAAGGAGTTGTCAAATGGTTTGCAGTTATTGATTAGTCAATACTTGTCAATTAATAGAAGTAAACGCTACACACTACTTGTAAATCACATTTACTTCAATATAAAACCTTTATAAAGTACTTTTCATTACTTGCCAATACATTTTATTACATAATATTTGTTTAGAAATACATGTATTAACATATTAACAAATTAAAATACTTAAACAATGCGCGTTATTTGCCAAATAACTTGTCAAGTAAATATATTGTGTATAGTACAATGATTTTATTAGAAGTTTCACACACTTGATAAATTATTTTTCAAGTATATGACTTACCTTAATTATTCGGAATAAAAGTCACATCTCATAACATTTTCTAAAAAAAAGTATTAAGTAAAAGTTCCAAAATGTGTAGTCATGGGAGATTTCATAAGTACTTGGCTAATTACTTGTAGAACAGTACTGTATCTAATACTTGAAGAAGAACCCGGCTTGAATATACTTCTCTATATACTAAACATAATAATTTTACTAATTTGTTGAGAAAAAGCATTACATTATATGGTATATTTACGTATTCGGAATACGGAATACTTTCCAAGTAATTGACAAGTATTTCTAAATTATGGTGTTGGTATTAAAATAAATCAATACCTCGCATAGAGGTTCCAACAATATCAAAGACTGTTTGAAACCGGATTTATTAGAAGAATTAAATACATACAAAAAAAAGCACAGAAAAAGAAACTTGATTGTATAAAACGAAAGAAAAATATTTTTTTATGTATAAAAATAATGTTTGTGTTTTTCTTAAAATTTCTTTTTTAATAGACCAAAATTTAGTTTTTTTTATTTTCAAACCGGACTAATCAAAACCGCATTATGCGAGTTATTATTATACTTATTTTAAAATTGTATACATTTCATGACTAAATTGATTACATAAATGAAACCTCTTTGTTTCGTATTCGCGTTAAATTATTACTCACTAATTTGCACGCAAATAAACAAAAAATTACAGCACTATTTATATGCAAATTACATATTCTTATTTGTTTCGTTTCTTTCTCTCTCTCTCTCTCTCGTTCTTAAGATTTTATTTACTTCGTTATGTTTTAAACATTATATAATTCACATAGATGTTCTTTTGTTGCCTTTTACCTGCTGCAACCTGCATCCTTCGCGCCTTAACGCGAGAAGTTCTTTGTTTCGTTTTAGCATGAATCATTCATTTCTGGTTACACTCTTAGCAGCAATAATCATAATTTATGTTTATGCGGTTTTTACGCTGCTATATTTAACTTAAATTTAATGAAATTATGACCAATTTTACATGTATTATAAAATGTATATCAATTTATATACACGTATTTTTTAATATTTATAGTGTGAATTTTAACAATTTTATTAAAATAAAACAAAAACTTTGCCTATTATTTTTAATGAAGTAATTATAGATTTATATGATTGATTAACTGGATTATATTGTATTTTGTATTTCATTTTTAATAGAGCAATATTTGTATTCTTATTTTTATATATTAAAATTAATGTAAGTTATAAACCTAAAATAACTTCAGAAACTTGAATCTATTTAAGTGCGTCTTGTTTACATTTTATTTATTCGTGATGATTTTATGTTTAAATAATTATATAACTAGTTTATCATCTAATTTATATTATTTTTTTCACTTTTGAGTAGTACATTTTTCAGTATTTATATGTTTCAACTAATAATATTTATGTAAGTCATTGACCTAAAATGACTTAATAATTATATCTATAACTCATGTAACATATGTAACGTAATATACGCTTAAACTTGACATAGAACAATAATTCAGCAATAATGTGAGTTGTGAAAGAACATAAATTATTAGTTTAAAGAGAAAAACGTGTTTATTGATACACTCATAATTTTCCTTACATATTCTTGTAAGCAAATTATTGTATCTTTATTAAAGTAAATTAATGGACAAGTGTATTTATTACTTTGAAGTTTATGAATACGTTTAAAATGTGACTTAAGACAGTTTTGTGCGTGATTGATAAAATGAACTAGTAAAACTTTATGTCTTTATTAGTTTCTATTTTAAGTAGCTATTGAACATGATCTACTTTAGTCCAGAATACGTTAAGTTTTGGATGTGGTAGATAATAAATTCAAAAAAATCATCCATCCAAATACTAACATTTATAATTCATGCTTAACTTTTAAAT